ATAACAAAGAAACAGCGAATTTGTGCCTTTTGGGACATAGCGGGGCGTTTGATAATAAACCTTGTGGTAAATCACAAGGTGGTCAAGGTAAACAAGCGATCTCTAGAAACAAGAGAGGTGAACAGAACGAACATCCGCTGGTTTTGGGAAATTCTTTCAATATGGACAGCAAAAGATCAAGTGTATATCAAACTGTAACTATTAAAATAACGCAAGGAACTCCACAAGAGTAACCTCCTCCCAACTATGGAGCTTGGTAGTGGATGAACTACTAGATAAATTAGCTCTAGCGGGATACACTGCATAAAGTATGCAGATGACATAGTCATGATCGATTGGTTTCCCCCGAACGAAATGAAGGTACACTGTGTGACAGTATCCAAAGCGGACTCCGTATCACTGAAATATGGTGCAGGAATGTGGCTGAGCATCAACTCAGACAAAACTGCGGTACTGCCTTTAACTAGAAAGCGAAGTCTGAAGATCTTGAAAGGTATGATGGAAAAGAAATGCTGCCACTACAGGAAGTCAAATATCTGGAAATAACCCGGACAGTAAACTTCTGTGGAACAGGCACATTAAGAACATTACCAGCAATGCCACAAAGGTTCTTATGATATGCAGAATACTGGTGGGAAATAGATGGGGCTGCGCCCTTAACATTTTGCGCTAGATGTATGCAGTATAAAGCTTGGTAAAAAAACTAGAGCAACGTACAAGGCAAAACCTGTGCAAAATGCAGATACTGGCATACATCTGCATCACAGGAGCTATAAGAGCATGCCCAACAGCAGCAATGGAGGTCATTCGAGAAAACTAAATACGAACGAACCAATGATCACTTACTCCAGCATCCTTCAGGCACAAATATACGCTATATAAAGATACGTACAACTTATTTTAGGTAGGAACTATCGGAACTATCCATCTTATCCGATAGTCAAGCAGCATTAAAAGCAACTCAGTTACCATCAATTTGAAGTTGGTGAAAGAATGCCTAGAGAAACTGAACAAATTAGGCAAATATAATAAGTCCTCCTACTCTGGGTGCTAACCCACCAAGGGATAGAGGGCAATGAAAAGCAAACGCTCTAGCTAGAAATAAAAGACTCCATGCCTAACTTGCAATGAGAATCTTCCAACTGTCTAAGACACCCGAAGAAATTTCTGAGAACTTACACAACCGAGAAAAATCAAATGTTTTACGGGGAGCTTGTAGAGGGTAAGAGCTTAAAACTTAAAGGGGATAATCATGCAGAATCAGTGGGAGGAAGCAGCGCACAATAGATGGAGAAGAATTGTAAACTCAGTCAACAACGACAACCAAAAAGTAAAGAGGCAACAAAGTAATGAGATTTTTGAATGTCCAGAGTGCGGACGAGTGATAATATCAAGTATCGGGCTTTTCGGTCACAGAAAAGCTCGTGAAAGAAAACGTCTTGCGTAACCATCTTCTGATGCATGTTAAATACTCGTCAGCGATTAATGGCAGTAGTAAGTAAAAAAAAATCAAAATTTTTTCAAAAAATTGCAAATTTTCAAAATAATTTTTTCGAAATATACTACTCTTAAAAATATTTACACTAGACCACCTGTATAACCCACTACCTAAATCCATATTAATTGCTATGAATTATTAATTAAAAGAGACTTAGATTCTTTTTGGTTCACCGGAAAGGGAAGCGCTGCTTCCCCTGCTTCCATGGACCACACGCTCCTGAGGAGAGATCAAAATAAATGTTCGCGCTAACCACAATCACCCAGTCCAATAAATTTGGTATTTTTTAGGCTGCTGTCTCTAATTTAATTTAAACTAGATATAGAATATCTAAATTGACAAAGCTGTAGTTAGATATCTAACTAGTTTTGGTCTAGACGTGCAACGTTTGTGAAAACTTAACGTAATTAGGATGCAAATGTTCGCACGCATATTAGATTTGCTCGATGATGTCCTACAGTAAATAGACTGCCAGAGCGTATGCATAATATTTTGTTTACCGATTTGTAAAACAATAGGGCCTATAGATCACTATTGAGTGTGTAATTAATTCAAGGGAGCATAACAATATCGAACTAATTATAACATATTACAGTCTAAGAAAAACAAATTACATTTCTTCTTCGTTTACACAGTAGCAGATTCGGTTGTATTTATGACTATTTTTTTTCTAGGTTCCTCTAAACGTACAAAATGAATAACTGGAATTCTAACATTAAACAAAAAAAAACAGCAATATGCGGGTGTCCGTGGTTGAGTTTGCATTAGAAGATTCTAAAAATGCAATATCTAGATCGGAGTTTTTTTGCACATCAGTGTTTCACAATGAGATCTCTCAATTAAAATATTTTCAATATGGTGGCTCTTCCGGAAGAGCAGGAAGTTGACAGCAATTGTCTTTTTTATAAATTATTTGTTTATATTTATGGATACTCTCATTTCTTCTACATTTAAAGTAACTGTAAAGTTTCACGAATTTTGATAGCAGGTACTTTCTATATATTAATTTTTCAGAAATAAAAATTTACAGTTATAAAAAATCGTACGTAATATCGCTCAAACGTTTTGATGGTACAAATACTCTATCTTAAAAAGGAGGTATGTGGCTGTTTATTTAAAAAAAAATTGAAATATTTATGTCATTGGCTATTACAAAACATTATAATAAATATTTTTTTTGGATATGAAAACCCATTTTTATTATGTTTTTTTTTATTTGTTTTACAAAAAAAGGTTTTTTTATTCGCTATTTTTTTATACAGGGTGTTTCTCAAAACTGGCTTACCCCTATAACATTTTTATTTTTTTAGATAAAAAACCGGATTGGCTATGTCAGTATTTGACATAAATTAGGATTGATTGAAATATTCAATTGTTTTCGGTCACTTTATTTTTACCCTCGATATTTTTTTACTTCATTTGATTGAAAATGACATTCTGCATAGAATGACATATCTTATGTTAACTTTTGACATTTTCAAAAAATAACATTTTAAATTTCAATTTAGAGTGCCATGGCCATAAGTAGTGTAATAACATGCGGTTCATAACGACAATTTGACTCGAAATATCAAGTGTGTGGTACCAAATTATTCGTAAAAAATGCTTTTCTAAATGTGCTAATGAGCCACCCTCGTTCCATTTGAAAAAATTGAGTTATGATTAAAAATACAATTTGAGCATCTTTTAACCAGAACAAGACACGAAAAATATCAGACGATCAAATCTATTTTTTCAAGGCTCCTGGATTAAAAATTAGTTTTTTTAATACAGAGATGACACTAGATTGAAATTTAAAATACGATTTTTTCTTAAACGAGAATATCAAAAGTTGACACATGATATGTCATTCTATTCAAAGTGTCATCTTCTATCTGATAAAGAAAAAAAATACCGAGGGTGCCATTTAAAAATCAAAAGTTGTAGTCATTTCCGGTGAAACAAGAAGTGACCGAAAATAATTGAATACGTCAATCAACCCTTATTTATGATATACCGGGTGCATCTCAAAAGTGGCTTACTCCTATAACTTTTTTTATTTTTTCAGTTATAAAAATGAGATTTGGTATGTTAGTAGATGACATAAATTAGGATTTATTGACGTATTCAATTATTTTCGGTCACTTCTTGTTTCACCGGAAATGACTACAACTTTTGATTTTTAAATTGCATCCTCGTCCTTTTTTTACTTCATTCGATAGAAAATAACACTCTGAATAGAATGACATATCATAGTCAACTTTTGAAACGAAAATTTGACTTGAAATACCAAGTGTGTGGTATAAAATTATTCGTAAAAAAATGCTTTTCCAAATATGCCAATGAGTCACCTTCATTCCATTTGAAAAAATTGAGATATGATTAAAAGTACGATTTGGGCATCTTTTAACCGGCCAGTACAAGACTTTAAAAACATTAGATGATCAAATCTATTTTTCCAAGGCTCCTTGATTAAGAATTAGTGTTTATAACATAGCCATGGCACTCTAGATTGACATTTAAAATACAGTTTTTTATTAAGCGACAATGTCAAAAATTGACATATGATATGTCATTCTATTCAGAATGTCATATACTATCGAATAAAGTAAAAAAATACTTAGGGTGCCATTTAAAAACCAAAACTTTTAGTAATTTCCAATGAAACAGAAAGTGATCAAAAACAATTGAATACGTCAATCAATCCTAATTTATGTCATATACTAACATACCAAATCTCGTTTTTTTTATCTGAAAAAATTAAAAAGTTATAGGGGTGATCCACTTTTGAGAGGCACCCGTTATACGAAGATACCAAATGTCATTTTTTTGTCTCAAAAAATAAAAAAGTTATAGGGGTAAGCCACTTTTCAGAAACACCCGGTATATCATGTTTCTATAGCTAAAGTAGTCAGTTTTCAAGTTATTTGGGATTTAACTTTAGATCATTTTTTTTCTTAACTTCTGTCTATTAGTAGCCTATGATTTGTAACGTTAAACATTATGCGTATCTGGTCGTATTAAATTATGTATTTTGTTAATAATGGCAGGTGAAAATTTTATTATAGATATGTAGGTACCTATAATGTGTCTAATAAATTGTTTTAATTTATTACTAATCTAATCAAAGTTATGACGGTTTGAAACGAATAAAAAAATAGATAGCAATAGAAATGTTTAAAACAAGTTTAAAATAAGTAATGGTGTTTTAACCACTTGTTTTTAAACAAAAAGTTTAAAACATAATAGCCCTCTTATCTGCCATGAAACAAATAATCCATCAATTTCCATCATAAACTTTAAGTCAAACTTTGTATGTATAGAGAAATACTAATCTAAAATTATTTTAATATTCTATAGCAAGAGATGAGGTAGAAATGCAGTATCTACTTAACTATCAAAAACTAGTTATATGTATATTTAAAAATAAATTAAGCAAGCTGTTTCAAATGAAAAAAATAACACTAGCATACGTGGACTGTAAAAATAACGCAAAAAAAGCCAAAAAACTATAAGAAATTACCCATCATGAAGAAGACGCCAACTCCGAATCTCTAAACAATTTAAAATCGAATCGAAAAACAGATCGAACCTATATCGAAAAACGAGCCAATTTATTTACAAAACATTTTAGCAAAAATCACCGTTCACTCAAATTTCACCAACCACTTTAGAACCGATGCGAGTTGGCGACATGGCGCGCTATCTGGCGGCGGCGCCCGGCACGACGCCATTTCGACGCCGACGCCGAAGGGGCGGAGCGTCGCCAAGCCTAAGGGGGGAAATTGGCCGGTAGGCGTGGCGTGAGGGGAAATCAAAGGCGAAGTAGTGGGGATACGGAAAATAGTGAAAAGGAAAGATTTTGATGATTTGACGGGATCTCGTTGACAGTGCGGACGGCCGCCGTTTGCCTGATGGACAAGTGCCGACCTAAGGATTTTTATCTTTTTCGATTTGGCATTTTGGTTTTATACGTAGGACGGTCTTGCTTTATTTTTAGTATTGAAAATACTTCTGGCCGCGTTTATATGGGACCCATCTTTGAAAAAACGACATGCTAGAAGCAACATGGGTTCAATAACCTGCCTGTCAACACGTACTTAAGTCGATAGAGCCTGCATTGATGAGCGAACAGGGCAAGGCCGTTCAAATCTGGACCGTCGGATAAAGAAAGCGATATTATTTTAAAAGAAAATATATCAAGGCATGGGTTGTTAGGTACAGTTTGGCTATTTTAATCTAACTATTTCCGTAAGAGGCAAATTATACGAGAAAGAGCAGAATCACATAAATAATAAATTTAGACTAATTACCATATCTTTTTATATGATTATTATTTTTTTAATTAACAACTTAGGACAAAGAAAAAGCTTGCATGATTTCCACCGCCAACAGGCGTTATACCAAATGAATCCAAGGCGTTGTCAAATATTTATTGGGATAAGTTGATAAGTTTTTACCGTTTGAATATTGTTGTAAATAATAATTATTCTCATTTAATTAGTGCTAACTTATCAAAGTTCACAACACGGCGAAATTTCAATAAAATCGGCCAACGGATCTTTGAGATATTAATAAAAAAATGTCTATTAGGAAACATCTTGACACCCTGTATCTTTAAAATTATGCATTTCCGGACACATGTTTAAATTAACTTTTTACCTTAAAAACACTCAAAGAATCACCTCCTGAAGTTGGCCAGATACTACTTAATTAACACCCTGTATTTAAAAATGGCTAGCTAGTGATTTTGTAAGTAAAGCTATGTTTATTTTAATAGAAAAAAAATACATTTCATAAAAATAAACAAACCCATAATTCAATTACTATACACTAATTAATTAACTTTAAATGTATCTAAATAGGCACTTTAATAATTGAAAAATGGACATGAGCACTTCATAGAGTATACCAAATATGTAAAAAAAAATCCAATAAAAAATCCACAAATGGCACATTAAAATCTGCATTATCTGAAATCAAATTATAGGTACCTAAACGGCCAATCAGCCAGACAACAGTGACAAGACGCCGACATCGATAACGCGATGAGCAGTTTTTAATAATTATTCCGAGTTAATACTTCAAGTAGCATTCCTACAAATAAATTTTAATTTAAGTATTGTTAATATAGTCATATTAATGATTATAGCCTGTATGATTTCTAAAATAAAAAATCAAGCGTGTTTTTATCAGAATAATTATTAAATGATTAAATAGAAATAGTTAATATTTATTAACTTCGTAAGTGTTACATTTTAATACCGTATGATCGAATAAAATCGGCGTCAGCGATGGCTATGAAATGAAGATCGCTGTCATTTTATATGTGATCGTCATTTCCAAGCCAACTGGACGCCGTTTTTTCTCGATCATACGGTATAATTATGGATTTAATAATTAAATAATTATCTTAAGGTTAAATTGTGGTAAACTTGTTATGAGTTTCAATCATTTATATTTAAAATCTTAGGGAGGCAATATAGATTTTAGGCAGAAGAACTCAAGGGAAGGACTGTGTAATTAGTAATTAAAACTTTACATTTTTTTTACTTGCCATTTTTCTTGTCTTTCACGTTGCACGTTGACTCTTCGTTGTGTCACACACAATCTGAATTTCGGATATGATGCAGAACTGATAAATTAGACCAAATATATTACTTGCAAGGTATGAAAAGAAATATTATTGTTAACTTTGCAAATACTTAAGGCATGCAATAATTTTAAAAAAAATTGACGTGAGATTACTTCATAATTCTTGAAAGTCTTGGATGATAAAGATTTTAATTATTATGGGTCTGTTTTGTTTAAGAAGCTACTAAATAATTTCAAAAACTCAACTATCAAAATATAATGGTAGAAAATAGTTTTCCTCATAACAAAAAACCGTCAATACCGCTACTCACATTATGGGCACCTTTTTATACTTAATTCTCTTAATGATGTTTAAAAATACATATGTAGGTACATACTATAACTAGTGGTTGTCACGGGTTTTTTATTAGGTATGATGAAAAAGAAGCTGCAAACTAAATTATCGTTGGAGCCAACTATATTTTAATTTATTTTTATCTACAGTAACTATGCACGGCAAGGGTTCAAAATATGCCTATACTGTGAGGCAACTCAATTCGAGTATAAATTAACACTTACATTCCAAGTATCTTCTTGGTCTACCGGCACCCCGTTCATCCTTATTCCATCATTTCTATAAAAAATAGTATGATTTATAACTTTTAATTTTTATTGAGAGTATTGGTGAAATTTTGTTGTACGGCGAATTTAAATTTAGGGGCCATCCATAAATTTACACCGTAAGTTAATAATTCCAAGGTTTAAATTAAACCTTGGAATACCCAGGTAATAGCCGGAAATATGCAAAAGAAGGAGTGAGTTTAGGTTAGATTAGAATTAGGTTTTAGTTGGTTTTGAATTAATAAAAATATAGACCTAATCTAAACTTAACCGAAACTGACCCACTTTTGGTATATTTCGGCTCCTACATGGGCAACTCTACGTTTAAACGCGGGCTTTTACGGTAACATAATACTCATTCTGATTGGTTTAATCTGGCTCCATAACAAAACTGTGGGTTCGAAGTGCTATTGCAAATTAATGCAATTAATTCTATGTATACCCTTTTATAAAAAGCCATCACGATAAAAATTAAATATCAAAATTATTTAACGTTGCGAACGGTTCACTTGTTCACTATACGTATCTGGAATATATTTGCGAATGGAGATCAGCGATACGATGGTGCGTCCAAACCTGGGGAGACGAGCGCGAGACATTCCAAATTCGCTGTGTGGACGAGTCTCGCGAGAGCGTCGCGAGTCAACCCACGGAGCCTCGTTGCTATCCGTCCCCTGTCGGTTTTCCAATGGCCGAGATCAAAGAAAGCTCCAAAGTCTGGACGTGTTTTTGGTAGGCCCGCCCGACTGCGAGATATTAGCTCTGATTTATAAATTTCGACCATTTAAAACTAAGTAATCTCAAATTTTTAAATCGTACACCGTATGTATTATCATTTTTTCTGATAGAATTTACAAATTTTATGTCACTGATAATTTTTACCCTACCGAAATCTAACATTTCTTTAAACAAATTAAATTATTATAACATCTATTAATTTTAGATATATAATATCAAAAAATGGCAAGAAAAGTTACCGAATTGTACGTATGTATAACCCAATAATAAAATAAAAAATAGGGTATTCTATTAGAAAATATGTTATATTCGCAACACTTTTTTTGAATTACCCTGTATACTCTATAGTAATGTTAAAATGTGCTTCAATAACTTTTTATTTAACATTTTGTTCTAAAAACGTTAAAAAACGTATTATGCAAAAAACGTCGTGTAAGAGATAAAGGGGAAAACAGCCAAAAAGGTAAAACCGACGATGAATACCATGTTAAAGACCGAATATCATATTAAAGACAACCGCCGACTTGTATCTGGTATTTTCAATACGCCTATGATGGTTGCGCATATTGCAAAATCTGTGAATTTTTTTTTGAATATTCCAAAGAGTAGAGTCTTTTGCGACTATAGAAACAAAATATCACATGCTTATATACGAGTGGCCCGACTAGGCATGTTCGGTCTTCCGGTATACCGGTACCAGGACCGGTACTTTTGAAGTATTCCGGTATAGATATCGCCTTTTACAAGACCGGTATACCGGTTTCGGTACCGGTACCGGAAGACCGATTTTGGTACCGGTACCCGAAGACCAGTTTAAATCAATCCCGAAAGACAGGTTTCAATCGATACAGAAAAATAGATTCATGATAATATGAAAATCAAAAAACCTGTATAAAACGATTTTGATACCGGTTGTTTTTGTGCAAGGCTGATTGTGTTCTACTCCAGGTGCCTTTGATCGAAAAAAGAAACTGCGTCAGCGATGGCTATGAAATGAAGATCGCTGTCGTTTTATATGTAAAATTATATGACTAACGTAATCGATGTTCATTTCCAAGCCAACTGGACGCCATTTTTTTTCGATCATTCGGTATAATACGGTCAACATTGCTAGCTTAGTTTGGTCTAGTAATCTAGTCTTCTTTCATTAGTACATCTAAAATTCAAGTAAAACATCTTGCTCATGGATCAGTCATGTAGGTATAATATATAAATTAAAATGAAGTAAAAATCAGGCCGGTATTCAATAGCGTCTACTCTATTATTTAAAATATGTAAAATAGCATCTTATTGCCACTCCGTTTAGGTATATCCCCAAGAACAGCAGCTTCCATTACTTTTTCCAATTTTCGTAAGTAAAAAGAATGTTGGACAAGAAATCAAGAATATGCCGGAAATGGGAATATAAACAATAAGAATCTTAAGTTAGATCAATAACATTATAACGTTAACGGATAGATTTACGATAGATATATTCCGACAAATGTAATTTATCCCTCAAAATACCGTATTTCCTTAACGTTACAGGTACGAGACGAGAACTTTCTATTTACATTTTTTAATACGGTATCAGGCATAGACTTAAAATAAAATATAGAGTGAGCATCTCATTCATAAATAGCTGGAACATGCGGTCAGACACTGTCTTGTTATTGTTGTGTTATTGTTTTAGGCTCTAACGAGTGCGATAGATAGGTTGTCTCTGTCGTAACGGTCGTTCCCTGACGACTCTGCCGAGAAACACAACACTGTCTTTCGTTTCTCAAGTACACC